GAAAGCACTAACCCTAAAGCTTTAAAAGTTATGCTCAAGATTTGCTTGATATAAAATGTCAAACTCCAAGGTCTTGTCACAAGGATTAAATTATGTGAAGTATGAAAGCACTATATATCCCTTACCATTCAAAAGTTATGGCCAAGGTTAAAGGTTTTTCATAAGTATGGAATCTCGAAGGTCAAGGTCAAAAGGTCAAGGTAGTTAATATCCAATGAAAGGTCTTTCCACCAAGAATACATATATGAAGTGTAAATGTCCTGGTATCTACTGTTCAAAAGATATGGCCAACTACCCTTAGGCAAATGTTTGGGTCAGAATATGAATAAAAAATTCCCAAAGAGACAAACACATTCCAAGCCTCCGTCTATCAGTTCTTTCAGTACTTTGATTTATATTTTAAAACCCAAGTAGTATCCTTCGTGTAAGCTACAGTTAATCAAAGAGCCAACATAATAGCTTTTGGTCATTAGAGCGTGATTCTTGATTTTCGCTAAATGACGGATCACTCCCTCGGCTTTTAACGATTGTGACGTCAAAATAAAATGTATGCTTTAACCTTTTGACATCCTTTCCGTGTTATGGTGTTTTGAATGCAATAGATTTTCACTCACATTTTTAGGCAAAAAACATGTGTAATGTAAATATTCAAGTTTGTTCATATCATGACCCCTGGGGGTAGGGTAGGGCCATAATGGGTAATCAAAGTTTTACATGGAAATATAAAGGAAAAATCTTTTTTTTTAAATTCTTCTCAAGAACAGCAAAACATGATTGATGTTATTTAAAGAAAGCATCCCCAGGTAGTGTAGATTCAAGATTGTTCAAATCAGAAAGCTTGGGGGTAGGGTGGGGACACAATGTGGGATCAGTTTTTACATAGGAATATACAATACTTAAATGTCTTTTTATAAAAAATTCTGGAGAACAGTAAATCCACGATTAGTGATTTTTTTATATGAAACTAAAGGAAGCATCATCAGCTGGTTAAGTTAAGGTTTGTATAAATCATGACCCCAGGGTTAGGGTGTGGCCACAATGAGAGGTCAAAGTTTTGAATAAGAATATATAGGAAAAATCTACTCCAGAACAGAAAAGTTATGCTTAGTCAAATTGACATGTAAGCATCTGCGTGTAGTAATTTAAATTTATTCAAATCATGGGGGTGGAAGGGGTCACAATCGGGGATCATTTTATCTATAACGTAAAAAAATTAAAAAATCTTCTGTTAAAGAACTGCAAAGTTACACATGTATGCTTTATTGATATAGTGGCAGTCGCAAGTAGTAGAAAATTCACCCCACCCCCAAAGTAAACTTTTTTTGCGGAAGCCGGTTGGTCAGATATATATCTTAAGCATATCTTACATTATCTTATATATTTTGTTTCTTTGATAATAATAGGAACCCATTGGATTTGGGAAGTAGTTTGCATGCTTCTAAAAGGCAAGGCTGAATATGCCAAAGAAACAAAAGAATATCTTTTCTTGGAAGCTATTCCGGACATGAGTGTTGTTCATAACCTTGCCTCTCCCAGACCTCTAAATACACATATTCCATACCGGTACTTACCAAAACAACATGTGCAAAATGGTGGAAAAATTATACATATCATCCGGAATCCAAAAGATGTTGCAGTTTCACTGTATCATCAACTCTTAGACAGTGGCTTATTTAAGAGCTTCGACTTTAAGACGTTTCTGGATGAAATGTTTCTGGGTCAAGGTAATGTTGAAGAAAAGTGAAATTCACAATTAAAGGATGATGAGCAATTTTTTTCACACAGGTCGACTGATTTTTTCTGGATCAAATGGTTCTAGGTGCAAGTGAAGTTTTTTGAAATTATAATTCGAAAAGTATGTTGAGCGTTTTTTTCGTAAAGCCGACTGATTGTTCGTTCATTGTTCATGGTAAATGCTTTGTAATTCCAAATCTTCAAATAACAAAACAGTTCAGAATCAACAAAAATTGATAGAAAAGACCATATACATTTGAATTAATTGATAATTTTTGAATAGATATCCCTAAAAATTTTGTTTTGTTTGTTTAATTTATTTTTCTTCTACTTTTTCCCCACATTAAGTCTTGATTTTTCCCCCTAGCATGTCCATTTACCACTTGGTTCAAGTACGAGAAAGAATTTGAAGAAGCCGAAAAGAAGGACAAATTTGGCGCAATACACACAATACATTATGAGAACATGAAAAAGGTATATTCGTAGATAGAACTTTATACGTAAATGTACAGAATATAACTTTTTCTCGAAAAATTGCATTAAAAATGATGTTGTGTTGAAATATTCATTTTCATAATTTAGCAAATCCATTATAGAGTTATATGCAATATCTTAATTTTAATTAGATATGAAAAACATAAAATGATTTTAAGACGTATTTGAAAGTTTGTTACATTTCATTTTACTACAATGCATGTTTGTTTTTATTTAACGGTTTCGAATATTGATAACTAAGCATTATCAATAAAGTCATCTTTTAAAAAAAATTGTTTGGTTGCCCTCACCCGACCGACTGACTAAAATGGCACGACTCAAATCTTTTTTTTTTTTTTTTTTTTTTTTTTCACATTTCAGGACAAAAAATTTTCCCCCAAGTATTTTAGTATTCTGAAAAACGTTTTTATTTCATCTACCTACCGAACCAATAATTTTACCCTGAGTCTAGAGGGAGCAAGCAGACATAAATATTTTAAAGATGGCCTAGAATAATGAAGCTTGGTTTTTCAATTTGAAAGGAAAAATCAAGCTGATTTTAGGTCTTGCATTCACATATCTATTCATATGCATTTAATGAAAGACTAACATGATTCACAGAAGAAATTTAATACATCTCTCTTTTGATTTTGATAAATATGAAGAATCCAATAGAAGAAACAAGAAAATTGGCCAAATTCCTGGAAGTGAGCATAACCGAGGAACTAATAGCAGAAATCGTAGACAAATGCAGCTTTCATAAGCTCAAACAGATTGACAGCACTTTTAAAGACCAATCTCATATTGATAGCATGATACATGGAAGCGGAGGCGTCAACAAGCCAGTAATGTATCGCAAAGGTAAGTAGGTGATCGATTTCCAAATGAATTGAAATGAATTCCTAATAAACATAACGTGATGGAGCTAAAATGTTATTTAACATTATAATTCAAATGAATTTCTAGGACAGATTGGAGATTGGAAGAACCATTTTACGGTGGCTTTAAATGAACAGTTTGATGATATTTTCAAAGAAGAAATGAAAAACTCTTCAATTCAAGTACAGTTTGAGTGAAAAAATTCTTTAAATAAAGAGAAATATCAATCATGATTTAAAATCAAGTTCTGCCACACATCTTAAACTTAAATGGTTAGTAAAATTTACCTGGCATGCTAAATTTTGTTTGAACTTTTGATATCGCATCGCAAACCTAATTTTTGTTTGTTCATTTGAACACATATTTCAAACCTATATTCTTTGTACATTGCCCTTACATCTCAAACTTTATATGTACATTTGGAATGTTATTACCATACCTTTTGCGAAATAAATTGTTTGAACGTGATTGTTTTTGTTTTTTATTTTGTATACAAGTTTTGAAACAAAAAGGTAAATATAAGAAAGAGTGATCGATCTCCTGAAAACTAAAAATGATACAAATAATTGTTATGTGAACGACATAACACAGAGTTGGGATCAGATGCCTAGGTCAGTTTATCTGTTAACTCTTGGTCACGTAGAACTGTTTGAATAGGTAGTCTTTATTTGTTACACACTGTCTACTACTAAAAATTGAGACTCTCTTCCTTCTCTATCTCTCTCTTTAGCAAATCCAAAGGGGGTTGCAACCCCCGTAAACCCCCTCTGGATCCGCCACTAAATCGTCTCCAATAATCGACAAAAAATCTGCAATATCTTCTAGTGCTGATTTTCGGCCAGTTAATAGCTTTGACATTTTTTTTGTCTGAGTATATCTTAATGTCATTCCCTGATATACTGTGGTTAATGAAATTGGGAATTTTTACAAAGGAATGCAATTTATATTAAAAAAATCTTTGAAAATCTTTTCACGAAAAACATAGCAACGATTAGTCATTTTTATATGGGCTCCGATGAATAATCTCATATAGATAGTGTATAGTCAAGTATGTTTCTATCTAGTCCACGAGGAACAGACTGGGGCAGCTGTGTATACTATTAATTTTTATTTTAAATGAAGAAATATTTATAGGAAGTATCTATAAAAATTCTCTCAATAATAGGGTTTTGTGATCCGTCAAATGTACATTGATATATCGTAAAATAGTGTTGATTCAACTTTGTACAGAACATGACCCCCTGGGTAAGAGAAGCGGACGTATTAGGAAATCAATATTTTATAAAGGAATTTAACGGAATAATCTTTTAAAGTCCTTTTCCTGATTAGTCTTAATTATGTATATGCATCAACAGATAATAGTAGTTCATACCTGTGCATATCATTCCAATCAGAGAAGAAGAAGGGCAATAATGGGGATCAAAGTCCCCCCCCCCCAAAAAAAATTCCTTATCTCAAGAACATCATAGACATGATAGGTCATATTTTATATAAATATCCTCAGAAAGAAGTAGCGTAGATTCATGTCCTAGGAAGAAGGGTCAAGATACAATATTTGATCAAAGATTTACATAGGGATATATAGGGGTCGTTCTGCTGCAGAAGAACAACAAAGCTCTTTTGACTCAGATAAGCGTTGTGGCGTTGTGGCCCTTTGGACGTTTCTTTCTTTTTATTATGACAAAAGAATCCAATCGAGGAGACTTCAAGATTGGCAAAATTTTTGAATATTTTGAATTTAAAGATCTATCTCATGTAAATAAAATAATAGGAGAGGGTGCTTTCAGACAACCGCCCAACATATTTCGCAAAGGTAGGTCAATTAATATCAAAGAAAGAAAACTTAGCTGATTGAATGCATAGAGTAAAACTTTTAGACAAGTTCACATGACCCTGTCTGTAAGAGCACCATCGATAGAAACAAAACAAAGTAATATGTCTTTTTCTTTAAAAAGTAAGCATAATTATAACAATTTATGTAACAATTTAAAAATCTTTTGAAAAATATGATTTATGTATAAACAAATAAATCGGATTTGTAAGGTTTTGATAACAGAACCTGTCTATATCACATCTATCACAATTAGGAAAATATCATTTTAATTCAAACCTTGGTATATAGTGCTCAAACAATAAATTCTATGTATAAAATCTACTCATTGATTTAGATAAGCTCATTACAATATGAGAATGTGAAATACAAGTAGTTGTGCATAAATAAATTTTTGAGTTTTTAAAAATTTTAATAAGGTTCACATTTCTGTTTCTAAACTTGGATTATTTTTATTTTACAGGAGAAAATAGATATTTGAAAAATCATTTTACGGTGTCAATGAGTGAACAATTTGATACAATATTCCAAGAGGGAATTTAATGTTGAATCTTTAATTTATGTTCAACAATTTTTGAAGGAAATCCTTCCCTTTTTGTTACTATTTACAATTTTATCTCATCCCTCATCTTTTTTTCTCTATATATTGAGTTGACTTAAGGCAGGGAACACAAGTTCAAAAAATAAGAATGATAAAAATTGTTAGATGTAATGAATGATAAATAACAGTTAGATCTATCAAAGTATGAACAGATATATAGACATAAAAACAAATAACTCCCAAGGTGCTTCACCTAATGTGTACAGTAACTCAGACCTATGGCTTACTCTTAGACGTCCTTTTTAGCTCACCTGAGCCAAAAGATCAAGTGAGCTTTTCTGATCATAATTTGTCCGTTGTCTGTCGTCGTTGTCGTCGTCGTAAACTTTTCACATTTTCGACTTCTTCTCAAGAACCACTGGGCCAATTTCACCCAAACTTACCACAAAGCATCCTTGGGTGAAGGGAATTCAAGTTTTTTCAAATGAAGGGCCACGCCCTCTTTCAAGGGGAGATAATTGGGAATAAATAAAAATTTGGTGGTATGGTTTAAAAATCTTTTTATCAAGAACCACTGTGCCAGGAAAGCTGAAACTTTTGGGGAAACATTCTCAGGTAGTGTAGATTCAATTTTGTTCAAATCATGACCCCCGGGGGTAGGGCGGGGCCACAATGGCCGACCAAAATTTTACCTAGAAATATATAGGAAAATTATTTAAAAATCTTCTTCTCAAGAATATCAAAGCCATAATTGATCATATTTATATGGAAGCATCCTCAGGTAGTGCAGATTAAAATTTCTTCAAATCATGACCCCCGGGGGTAGGGCGGGCCCACAATGGCCGACCAACGTTTTACCTAGAAATATATGGGAAAATTCTTTAAAAATCCTTTTTTCAAGAATAACAAAGCTATTATTGATCATATTTATATGGAAGCATCCTCAGGTAGTGTAGATTCAAGTTTGTTCAAACATGACCCCCGGGGGGTAGGGCGGGGCCACAATGGACGATCAAAGTTTTACCTAGAAATATATAGGAAAATTCTCTGAAAATCTTCTTCTCAAGAATAACAAAGCCATAATTGATCATATTTATACGGAGGCATCCTCAGGTATTGAAGATTAAAGTTTGTTCAAATCATAACCCCCGGTGGTAGGGCGGGGCCACAATAGCCAATCAATGTTTTACATAGACCTATAATAGATAATAAACCAATTTCTACTTTTTCCTAGCCACAGTGCTCAGGTGAGTGATGTGGCCCATGGGCCTCTTGTTAATTTTGTATCTTTATTTTTTCATGCTTTTAAAAAAAAATATTTTTGTAAGTATTGAATTAAATTCATATCTAAAAATATCCATCATTATGACTCCAATAGTTGTAACCCTTTAGAGTATTGTAACGTCATACTCTAAAGGATGACATCATGTCAACGTAGAAGAAACCTGTCAAGTCGCCATGATGTATTTCAACATTGAAGAAAATAGAAGATTAAAGGTAAGTACCTGAGCTGTGAGTTATGAATTTAGTGTTAGATACATTACTAAACTTATATAATTCATATGCACATTCATTAGAAAATCTACCGGAAATGACGAGGACAGGTTTGTCGTGCTAGAGTTCCCTCACAAAATTACTGGCAATTTAGCCGATATCTTTTGGCTTTTTGGCAACTTTTTAAATAATTATCTCATAACACAAACCCAAAATTTTTTAATTTAATTTGGCTTAAAGGTACTTCGACACTGATTTGAAGTCAATATTTTCTCTATAATATTACGACTTATATATTTTAATAGTATTTTACACAAAAATTAATTAAAAATCTTATTTCATTTAAAAGTTATTAAAACTTCAACTTTTTCGGCGGGTTACTTTTCCAAGTATAGCAGCCGAAAATAATGTTTTCCCGAGCGGTATCTGCACGGGAAGCAGATTGGGAAAAATAGGTCGAAAATACAATAAGGTCGAAAACAGGATACGTGACGATACATATACATAAATTCAAATAATCTGTAGATATTCAAACAGTGTATGGACTAGTGATGTGTGCTGATTATTATGTTTATTGCGAGTTAGTAGTATTTCTGTATGCGTATTGAACTCTCTACAGTAGTATTACTAATTAAATGAAAACAATATATGAAATTCACATGTATTAGCAGTACTCCTTTATTCTAATTTAAATTTCTTACAGTATCACAAGCTAAATAATAACAGTTAAGCAAATCTAAGTTATACTAATTTCCCCCTCCCAATTTCTGTTTAATTTTAAACTAAATGTATAATTAACACAAACACATACACACCCTCCCAAATATGCATTTGTTTTAATTATTGTTTTGACCACCACTCCCTCTTTTTTCCATTTAACTTTATGTCGAATCTATACTTTAGGTTCAACAATTATAGAAGGGAAGCACCCCCTTTATTGTTACTATTTAAATTTTACCTCATCCCTCGTCTTTGTTTTCTCTATATATTAAGTTGACTTTGAATTCCATGTATGGTCGGCCACCATAAAATGTCATTGATTGCTTCAACCTTCTTGACTGGGTAACACGGTTGTTGATTTATTTATCATTTATTTTTAAAAAATAATGAGTAGATATACTACATATATCCACACGATCATATAGAGGCCTGTTACGATAACAGATATTTTGAGGCTGGAAACACAGGGTGAAAAAATAAGAATGATAAAAATCCTTAATTATAGCACCAATGAATGATGAATAATGGTAAGATTTATCGAAATATGTATATACACATAAAAAATTAATACATCAAATAAAAGATATCATTGAGGGTAAATTTGCAAGCTCAAAATTACATATATGTGTTTCTATCTGCCAGAAACTTGTACAATCGATAAAAAGTCAATTCATTGTATCCCATAAGTCGCCTCAAATTCTCGGGCAAAATCTAGAACGCTGCTCTCAATAATAATAAATTTGTACAAATTCAGTGTGAATCGAAAAGATGGAGATTGATAATAAGAACGTGAAATATGTCGAGTATGATGGCTTGCGTTTACCGCCATTTGTACCACTTTTGAAGGATCCAAAGGAAAGATTCGAAGAGATCAGGGACATGGAATGCAGAAAAGATGATGTTATTATAGCAGCATATCCTAAATCAGGTACCTGTTTGCTTTATAAACAAAACGTTCCTATTAAGAATTTTTTCCTTATAATGGAATTAGGTTGTAATGACCATTTAGGTGAAGTGGACATCGATGGAAGGTACTAAAATAGCTTACACAATTTATAACGAAAACACAAAGCTCATTAGAATAATCCTTCACTCTAAAAATAGTCTTAAACTAGAGGTACTGTGAGCACTAAGCTCACTATTGATACCCCCGCCTCCCATATGATTATAATGACAAAGTCCATGTTTTGCTTTGGAAGATCCAAAATAAGTGTCAGATCAAAAAGTAAAAGAGAAGGTGAACAACTGCATCATGAAATAAAGACTGTGAAAGTATCATTAAATTTTATTCAGTAGTATAGGAGGAGTAACGGATATGAGATGTGTACCCTTCAATAATATAGAAAGAATGGCAGTGTCTGTTTTGCAATGGGAAACCCAAAATATGTTTCTGATCAAAAAGGAAAATAGGAGGTGCGCAATGGCACTATGTAACAAAGAATCTGTGAAAGACATTAAATTTCATTCAGTTGTATAAGAGGAGTTGTGGATAAGAGATGGATACTTGTACCCCAAAGGGTAATAGATGGACGCCATAACCCTCCCACTTTTCAAGCGGGAGTGTAATGAAATCGTTGTATTGGCCTAACTTTATGCTATTTTGAACAATTTAATGTTGCCTAAGTAATTAGTTAAACAAGCATATTCAAAGAATTGTGAGCCCCGTTTACGATGTCTTTGTGGGTGAGATTTGATTTCATTTTTTTTATATTTTGTGTCAAATATGAATGTCCTATCGTATGTCATTCAGAAGTTGTCACCGTAGTTGATTTATTTGAAAATGAGGTCAATCATAAAGATCATGGTCAAGGGGTCAGAAATCATAGCATGCTTGGAAACATCTTGTCACAGGTAATGTACATGTCAAATATGAAAGCCCTATTCCTTCTCAATCAAAAGTTATAAGAACAAGAGGCCATGGGCCACATCGCTCACCTGAATAACTTTGGCCATTCTGTTATATAACAGATTTCCCCCTTTGTAATACCTATCTTGACCTTGCCTAATCCCAAAGGGTCATGATTCGAACAATTTAGAATCAATACTACCCCAGGATGCTTTCTCATAAGTTTCAGCTTTTCTGGCCCAGTGGTTCTTGAGAAGAAGATTTTTAAAGTTTTTCCTATATATTTCTATGTAAAAATTGGATTCCCTATTGTGGCCCCGCCCTACCCCCGAGGGTCATGATTTTACAATTTAGATTTTACACTACCCATAGGATGCTTCCACATAAGTTTCAGCTTTTCTGGCCCAGTGGTTTTTGAGAAGATTTTTAATGACCCTATTTTTGTATTTTCTTGATTATCTCCCCTTGGAAGAGGACTTGGCCCTTTATTTTAAGAATTTAAATTCGCTTTTACCCAAGAATGCTTTATATTAAGTTTGGTTAAAATTGGCCAAGTTGTTCTTGAGAAGAAGTTTAAAATGTGAAAAGTTTACAGACGGACGGACGACGGACAATGGGTGATCAGAAAAGCTCACTTGAGCTTTCACCTCAGGTGAGCTAAAAAAATTAACATTTTTGAAAAATAGGTCAAACTTCAAGGTCAAGGGGTCATAAATCATAGTGTATTTAGAAAGGTTTTGCCACAGGTAATATACAGCTTCGATATGAAAGTCCTATCTCTTCCATTCAAAAGTTATGACCAAGGTTAAAGTTTTTGAAATGTAGGTCCAACTTCAAGTTCAAGGTCAAGAGGTAAAAAAAATCATAGCAGTTTAAGAAAGGTCTTGTTACAAGTAATTTACATATTTGATATAAAAGTCTCATTTCCTCTCATTCAAAAGTTATGGCCAATTCAAAGTAATGTTTAAATTCTTAAAAGTAGGTCAAACTTCAAGGTTAAGGTCACGGGGTCAAAAATCATAGTGTATTTAGAAAGGTTTTGTCACAGGTAATATAAATGTGTAAAATAAAAGCCCTATCTCTTTTCACTCAAAAGATTTGACCAAGATTAAAGTTTTTGTGACGGACGAACAGACTGACAGATTAAATGTCCGTTCGCTTTCACAAAAGCGGGGGACAACAATTACGTATTAAATTATTTCTTTTTTATGTAGTCTCATAATGATATAAGCGATATAAGCAAACAAATAAAGTATAATTCCTGTATTTTCCTTTCGGTAAATTACAATTAATGGAAGAGATGGTGCAACAGCCAACTGCCATCAGACAGTTCAAAGTCAATTTTGAGACTTGCACGGTGACGTTTTTGACGTCGAAATAAAAAAAAATAATACTGCAACCTTTTGGAGTCCCATCCAGGTTATTTTGTTTTTAGCTCACAAGGAGCTTTCCTGATCAAAAGTTGTCCGTTGTCTGTCGTTGTTGTCATTGTCGTCGTAAACTTTTCACATCTTCTCAAGAACCACTGGGCCAGTTTCAACCTAACTTGCCACAAAGTATCCTTGGGTGAAGGTGATTCTAGTTTGATCAAATAAAGGACAGCTCCTGCTCCCAAGGTGAGATAATTATGAATTAGTGAAAAATTAATGGCATCTTTAAAAACCTTCTCAAGAACCACTGGTCAGGAAGATGAAACTCATGTGGAAGTATCCTCAGGTGGAGTAGATTCATCTTTGTTCAAATCGGGCGTAGACCGGGGTCACAATAGCTGATTAAAATTTTTCATAGGAATATATAGGAAAAATATTTAAAATCTTCTTCTCCAGAACCATTGAGCCAGGAAATTTGAACTCACGTGGAATCATCTTCATGTGAAGTAGATTCAAGTTTGTTCAAATCATGACACTCGGGAGTAGCGTAGGGCCAGAATGGACGATCAGTTTTACATGGAAGTATATAGGAAAAATCCTTTAAAGATCTTCTTCTCAAGATCAGCATGGCAATGATTGGTGATATTAATATGAAAGCATCCTCAGGTAGAGTTTATTCAAGTCTGTTCATATTATGACCACTGGCCATAATGGGCAAAAGGTTTTACATAGAAATATAAAGGAAAAAACTTCTTCTCAAAAACAGCAAAGCCATGATTGGCGATATTTACATGGAAGCATCCATAGGTAGTATAGATTCAAGATTGTTCAATTCAGAACACCTAGGGGTTGGTGGGGACAATATATCGGATTAATTTTTACATAGGAATTTACATATATACTGAAATATCTTTAAACATTTTCTAGAGACCAGCAAATCCATGATTAGTGATTTTTTATATGGAACTAAAGGACGCATCGTCAGGTGGCTTAGATTCAGGTGTGTTCAAATGAAGACTACGGGGTTAGTATGTGGGCACAGTGAGGGAGCAAAGTTTTGCATTATAGAAAATTTATGCTTAGTCAGATTGACATGTAAGCATGTAGTGAAGATTTAAATTTATTCAAATCATGGGGGGTTGTAGGAAGGGGTCACAATCAGAGATCATTTTTTAAAGAAAGTAATAAAAATTTAAAAATCTTTAAAAATCTTTTCAAGAACGGGAAAGTTATACATGTATGCCTCATTGATATAGTGGCATTCTCAAGTAGTAGAAAATTCAGTTCCTCTCCCGAAAGTAAACTTTTTACGGATGCCGGTTAATCAGATAGATATCTTAAGCATATCTTATATTATCTTATATATTGTTTTCTTTAATATAATAGGAACCCATTGGATTTGGGAAGTGGTTTGCATGCTTCTAAAAGGCAAGGCTGAATATGCCAAAGAAACAAAAGATTTTCTTTTCTTGGAAGCTATTCCGGACATGAGTGTTGTTCATAACCTTGCTTCTCCCAGACCTCTGAATACACATATTCCATACCGGCACTTACCAAAACAACATGTGCAAAATGGTGGAAAAATTATACATATCATCCGGAATCCAAAAGATGTTGCAGTTTCAATGTATCATCAACTCTTAGACACTGGTTTATTTAAGACTTTCGACTTTAAGACGTATTTGGATAAAATGTTTCTGAGTTCAGGTAATGTTTAAGAAAATTGAAATTCACAATGAAAGGATGATGAGCAACCTTTTTCGCACTGATTGTTTCTGGATCAAATGTTTTTAGGTCAAAGTAAAGTTTTTGAAAATTATAATTCGCAAAGGATGATGAGCATTTTCTTCGTACAAGCCGACTGATTGTTCGTTCATTATTCATGATAAATGCGTTGAAAGTCAAATCTTACATAATTGATTTCTGGAAATCTTCAAAAAAAAAAAACAAAAAACAAAAAAAAAAAACAAACAAACAAACAAACTTCGGGATCAACAAAAAGTACTAGAAACGCTCATATTCGTATGATTTTTTTCTTTCTATATTTTTTTGAATAGGTATCCTTTAAAATCTTCTTTTGTTTACTTGATTAATTTTTTTTTGTACTTTTCCCCCACGTTTTTGAAGATTTGATTTTTCTCCCTTAGCATGTCCATTTTCCACTTGGTTCAAGTACGAGAAAGAATATGAAGAAGCCGAAAAGAAGGACAAATTTGGCTCAATACACACTATACACTATGAGAACATGAAAAAGGTACAATCGTAAATAGAACTTTATACGTTAATGAACAGACTGTTACTTTTTTCTCAACAAATTGCAGTAAATTGATGTTTGTGCTGTTATATTCATACAACTCCATTAGATTTAGAAACAATATCTTGTTTTAATTAGAGATGAAAAATATATTGATTTTATGACTTGTATTTGAAATTTGTTACATTTCATTTTACTGCAATGCATGTTTGTTTTTATTGTAATTGTAGTATATAAGTATTATTATTAGGAAGTCAAATCGGTCAACTTTTGATAATCGGTTACTCGGACGATTTTCAAATCGAGTACCGGTACTCGGTAAAATTGTAAAATATGTGTGAATTTTATTGAGACTAGTTGAGTCCTGATTAACCCCATCAATGGTTTTTTTCATGTTTTAATGGCTGTTACAAACATCGAACCAAGCAAAGTCAGTTTCTTGTTCTAATTTTATTCATCAAAAAACTGTTTATATTAATTATAGTACACCAATAAATACAAATGTTTAAGTCACAGCTCTTATTGAGAGGTGTAATGCAGCTTTGTAATGATCAGAGAAGCGAAAGAGGATATCTTTGAAGAGAGAAACGCAACTTGTCAGGATCGATAGATATATATTATTTACTTAATAGACTTATAAAACGATGTTCATTAAAACAAATTATTAAGGTTCATAAATCTTCTGCTCACTCATATAAAATGTTGCTTTAACTTTTAACTTTTTCCAAAAGAAATGTATTTTATAAGTATAATACAAACAATTATAACAACTTGCGGGGCAAAATTAAACAAAAAAAAAGACATTTCAACTTGACAAATCTATAAAGGTATAATAGACATTTACCGGGTGTGTCATCAAGAGTTATCTCTCTTATCAGTTTCAGTTTATTGAAGTCGAGAGACATACATCTCATAGACAAAGTATGAATGAATCTTAAATCTATCCATAAAAATAAAGGACCAAATTAGTTGCTAACAGCTGTTTGCCAGGTGAATTGGTCACGGTAATTACTGTATAAACGAGTACACAGCCACAGGCGATAACGGGTATTTTTAATATTAACAGTAGTAGGAGACGCTAATTACATAATAATTACGGACAGAACATATTTATTAAATTGCATTTTGAGGGAAGTTTTTGATAAATATATGCACTTATTAAAAAATGTATATATACAACTGAGTAGCGATTTTAGAATTCGTTACTCGGACATTCGATCGAATACCTTGTTAACGGGGTAATCTTTGACATCCCTAATTATTAGATAAGGCCATCTTTAAACAGTTGCTTGGTTGCTCTCTCCCGAACGACTGACTAAAATTGCCCGTCTCAAAACTTTTTTGTTACATTTCAGGACACAGTATATTATTTTTCCTTATTATTCCTCTTTTCCAGTTAACAAATATTTTAGTATTCTGAAAAAATGTGGGGTTTTTTTCACCTACCTACCGACCAAATAATTTTACCCTGAGTCGGGAGAGGAGAAGCAAACATCAATATTTTAAAGATGGCCTAAAATTAAGAATCTTGGTTTTCAAAAATTTTCAAAAATATTTTCTTCAAAATTCAAGCTGATATTATTTTATACAAACAAACTTTTGTCAAAAATATTGAAAATAGCTATGTGTATCATGATGTATAAGAAACATCAATCACCGCGTAGTTTTTAAATTTTTATTCAAAAATTGCACTAAAATTAATAAATGGTTTGGTTTTCAAAAATTTTCAAATATATTTTCTTCAAAATTCAAGCTGATATTTAAGGACTAGCCTTCATATATCTATTGAATACATTTAATAAAAGACTAATATGATTCCCAGAAGAGATTTAAAACTTCCTTTTTTATATAAATATGAAGAATCCAATAGAAGAAACAAGAAATTTGGCCAAATTCCTGGAATTGAGCACAACAGAGGAACTAATAGTAGAAATCGTAGATAAATGCAGCTTCCATAAGCTCAAACAGATTGACAGTTCTTTTAAAGACCATTCACATTTTAAGAAAATAATACATGCAGAACGAGAAGGCTTCAAAATGCCAGAAATGCTTCGCAAAGGTAAGCAAGTGATGATTTCCAAATAAACTGGAATTATTTCATATTAATCACGTCATGAAACTAAAATGTTATTTAACATTACAATTCTAACGAATTTCCAGGACAGATTGGAGATTGGAAGAACCATTTTACGGTGGCTTTAAATGAACAGTTTGATGATATTTTCAAAGAAGAAATGAAAGACTCTTCAATTCAAGTACAGTTTGAATAAAAAAAAAATTCTTTTAAGAGAGGGGAATATGAATCATGATTTGAGTTCTACCACACATCTCCAAACTTAAATTGATAGTTCAATTTACCTGGTATGCTAAATTTTGTTTGTTCATTTGATCTCGCAAACCTAATTTTTGTTTGTTTACATTGCTAACAAATGGAGGTCAAACATGGACTTCGGAAGGCGGAATGAGACCTCCATGTTTTCACGGAATTCATAAGCAGAAATGAGATTTTGTTTTATACACATCACTTGTATTTTTTTTCTATTCTGTATTATCTGAATGTCTAAAGGAAAGAAAAGTCAAAGATAACTCAATGTGTATATTCAAGGTTATAACCAGATATTAAATGTGCTGTATAATTTCTGACTCAATGTATGGCGAACACCAAAATACGGTATATCTTTAGATCAATTTTGTTTGGAAAGTGAGATTTATCAACACGCTTAATTTTTGCTATTGTTATATCATCAATTATTGTTATATTATTGAAATCAATGTACATATAAAAGATATATGTCATCCAGTCCAGAGAGCCGTAGGCAAACCTGGTGTGGATCATAAGGGGGTCTCTGAGGAGAATTTACCCCGAAAATGCCTTTATGTAATATCTATCTGAATAAAAAAACGTTTTTTTTGGGGGGAGGGGTGTTCATTTGAACTAATATTTCAAACTTACATTCTTTGTACATTGACCTCATATCTCAAACCTTGTAGGTGCACCTGGAATGTAATTACCATACCTTTTGCTAAGTTAATGGTTTGAACATGATTTGTTTTGTACATCTACCATTTTTGAAACAAAAAAGGGTTGAATATAAGAAAGAAAGATCGATCTCATGAAAACTACAAATGAGGATATACAAATATGTGAACGGCACAACACAGACCCGTAGAAATTCCAGAGGTGGGATCAGGTGCCTAGGAGGAGTAAGCATCCCGTAATGACCGGTCAACCCACCGTAAGCCTTATAATGCATTGAATAAGAAGACGGAACATTCCTTCTTCTACAAAGGCATGACAATTAGTACGAAACAAGTAACTAAAGTTAAAATACGATCCACAGATAGATTATAATTGCTTTAAAGGTCATTAATATGGTATAGAATTTAATGAATGCTTACGCTTACTGCAAACGATGTTGATGAAATCCTTCAAACAATAATTTATCTGTCACAAGCCTGACTCGGTTAATAAAAAAAACATCGTACTCAGAGCAAGCCACTGAGTAGAACATACACACCATATGTAGGTGAGAGCGGAATATTACTACACAATTGTCGTGCAATTTAGTTAAGTTGGCATTTGACGTCTATGATAAGTAAAACACCCAAAAATGAAACAGATGTGACACACTCTGTGATGATTTTTATACCAAGTTCACTGGGATGTATAGAGTCGACCTGGAAATGACAAAAACCTCGTCGATGTATCTAAATGTCGAGTTGAAGGCCACGGCAAGTGTTTTCTTCCTCTTATGTAGAAGTTTTTGAATACTTTATGGAAATATAAAAACAGATCGGCTAATAAATATAATTTTCATTTTTAATTTATTTATATACTCTGTTCTAGTATGTACAGAATATAAGACTTTAGTATAATGACAAGTGCACGATGTGTTCTAACATACTTTGTTAAGAAATTTTTGGAAAAGAACTACTGAAAGATGGGAAGTTTTAGATGGAATAAAAACTTGACATTAGTGTCTTTTCATTTTTAATTTATAGGTTAAAAATACAAAACACAGAGTGTCTAAATGGAAACTGCTTTTAAAAAACTGGCAAAATAGTGTAAGAAATGGCTTGTAAAGTCTATTTGTTGAGCGACAAAAAGTATAAGCTCAGTATTGTTCTTTCATGCTTTTAAGTACTTGATACTAACTTTGTTCAACACATAGGTATCAAGTTATTTGTTAAACCTCGGTCATTTCTAACAGTTGAAATTATTGTTACTTTATTCGTTACACATTGTTTACCACACTGCCAGACAGTCGATCTCTTCTCTGTACAAGGTTCTCTTATTAATATATTTGGTCAGTCATGTTAAAAATGACTTGAAAGGAGATGGCACAAAGTCTAAATGGACTTCAAGCTTTTTACATGGGTGAACTTGTCGAGCCGGAAACCCAAAGTAGGACAACTTCAGAAAACGAAAACTTTGAGGTTTTCCTTTTGTAATGAATCGCTATTTTTCATAACTAAGCTTTCTGTTATGACAATCCAAATAAAACTTTAACAAGATATCCATTAAAAACCACATTTACGCAAAAACATACAAAATAACAGCAAATCTGACATTTCAAAGCATATTTTCTCATGCAGTGGTTCAAGTCTCTATTTTAAACTAAGTAAAATATGTTAGTGCATATTGAATTCTAAAATATTTTATAAGTAAAAAAAATGGAGACTTGACCCACTATATGAAAAAACTAACTTTTTGTATATAACATTTGTCGTTCATCGTGAAAAATTCTAAGTCCATGTAACCCACCTTTAAATAGCTATATATCGATAAATTTTATATAAGCGAGATAGCCTAGAAAGGATGGCGTTCGACTCGCAATCTAACACTGCTTAGTCGATGGTTCGAATCCGGTTTTTTTATTTCACCTATCTTTTTTTTTTTTGCTACGTATAACGTATTTTTAATAATATTTAAAGATAGAAATATTGGTGGGCATTATCTATAACATTTTTTATGACACTTTCCTCTCACAGTTTTAAAAGATAATACCAATCACAAAGATTTCGATTCGAACATAGGGCTTGTGAATAAATGTAAATAAAAATGGGGCCTCCTGTGAAGTATGGGTGCTGTATATGTAAACGACAACTCAAAGGACAGCTAAAGAGAACAGTTTCATCAAAGCTGAAGAAGTTTTTGACAGAGAATGGTATCAAAGTTCACGATAAAAGTCAGATAAGACTGAGCAAAGAACACAGTGAACTACAGCACAGTACAAAAACAAAACCAAATAACGTGTCTCTTTCTGTCCCATTTGTACCTGCTGGAAAATCTAATAACAAATGTGCGTTCTGTAACTCCAATACATAGCGTACCTAAAGAAGCAAGAACCGATGCCTTTACTTTATTTGGTATTTTAGTACCAGTAGGTTGTAAATGCTGTTCCAAACATTTGTTGGGGAAAAATCTAAATCCAAACCAAACCCTCAATACCACATCATATAGAAAACAACACTCTACTTTGACATCAGAGGAATTGACTGATTTACTTTCTAGACTAAGATCTAAAGCTATTTCAAATACTACGCGGAGCAAAATAGATTTTCACTTCAATCATCTCTTTGAAAAAATCAAAAAACTGATCAATAAAAAATGCAATAGGCATACTGCTGTTTAAGTTGAAATCTGGACTTTCGAATGGTTTGCTTGCGACGTTATGTGGACTAAGTAGCAGACGTCAGGTTGCCGACATCATCAAGCGTGCGCGTGTAGCGATGGTTCGAGACTTTGTACCCCTCAATATTGGTTTTGACCATTTGACAAGGGAGCGTATAATCGACCATCATACCACTGACATATCAAAACAACTGTTCTCAGACCCAATTTCAGACACAGTCATTCTTGTACTGGATGGTACGTACATTTACATTCAGAAGAGTTCTTCCTACAAGTTTCAGAGACTGACTTACTCTGTGTATAAGGGTAGACCTCTTGTGAAACCTTTCATCATCACAACCACCAGTGGTTACATTGTCGATGCCACTGGGCCCTTCTTTGCAAATGGTCGCAACAATGATGCATCTATTCTTTCACATATTGTCAAAATAAATAAAGATTTATAATTACAATTAATAATTTTACAAAACGCGCGCAACATATTAAAAATATCAAAGAAAATAAATCTAATAACAAGTTTTTTGAAAGAGCAAGATATTCTAATTGTGGATAGGGGCTTTCGGGACTCTTTGAGTTTTCTAAAAGAATGTGGATATCAAGTCGAAATGCCTGCATTTCTTTCAAAATCAGCAAAGCAGCATTCCACGGAAGAGGCAAATGTTTCGCGCCTTGTTACCAAAGTACGATGGGTGGTAGAGGCAGCTAACGGAAGGATAAAAAAATGGAAGTATCTCGATAATGTAGTACACAATAGTCAATTGCCATTTATTGGCGATTATATTCGAATTGTGAGTAGCATTATAAATAAATACAAGCCACCACTTAAATCGAACAATGCCGATGATCTTCTAATTGGTTACCAAATGCTTCTTAAGTCTAAAGAAACTGCTACAGCAATTCAACGAATGGGTTTAGATGATGTATCCTCTCTTAAATATCGCGCGAATTCAAAAACATGGAGATGTATTGACGCAAAAGACACTGCTTTAGCTTTTCCAGTTCTTACTGAGGACTATGTTCGGCAAATAACTTTTGGTGTTTATCAATTGAAACAAGCAAGTTCTTATGTTTCAGAGCATCTTGAAAATGGACAATATCTTATTGATGTGTCCGAGATTGAGAATGATTTAATTCACGTAAAGATTCAATCTCGACACAGAAGTAAACTTCTTTATAATTTGTGGATTAGATATTCAACCACAGATATTTCTGGTTGGTTTTGTCAGTGCAAATGCGGGGCCCGTACCGTAGGATGCTGCGCGCGCATATGCAGCGTCATATGGTACCTTGGGTATTCCAGGCATCAATGCAATTATGTGTCAGTAAAAAACCACTTAATGTCCAATATACATGATGCAGCTTGTGAAACAAACTCCGATGATGATTACGATTAAAAATGTTTTGGATAATATTTATTTCTTTTTCTTTTATTTTCTTTTTTCTTCTTTTTGTTATCACTCCACTGTCTGCGTTCACTATTCAGGGAAATTTTTAGTACGGTACTGTATCCATTGTAAATACAGTTTACATATAGCTATACAACTTTATAATGGATTTTTGATATACGTATTAAAATTATTGCTTTTGCGATAAAAATGCTCAACATTTTTAAATGTTATTTAAGCCACTTTTACGTTAAAAAAAAAACTTACAAGTACAAGTACAGGTTATACTTTGCTAAACAAGAAAAAAATGTTAACGTGTACGTGTAATTTTAACTTGTAGTTTACACGTACGTGTACACGTAGAAGTGAGCTTGCTAAACCTCTCTATTACTAAATTAGCCTTTCACCGAACCACTGCGGTTAAAAAATCACTTGCTTTTGGTTTCATGACAATGATCAATCGATTGGTTTGCGTGATAATTTTATGCTTAAACGACTTCGGCGTTCATGTAAATTATCACGCAAGCCACTCGATTGATTACATCATGAAACCAAAAAGTTTAAAAAAAATTATTCCTTAAATATCATCTATGTGCTGTGTATCATAATATCTGTCTCCATCTATATGAATGTACAGACTACTTTTAAATTTAGGAGACTACAGAGTCTGACACATCTGTTTCATATATGGATATTTTGCTTGCAAAAGACGTTAATGGTAATCTAATAACCAGGCTCTATGATAAACGAGATGACTTAAACTTTTCTATCGTCAACTTCCCTGACTTGTGGAGCAATATACCTTCATCACCTGCATACGGAGTTTATATATCTCAGTTGGTTTGATAAGCAAGAGCATGCTTTACGCATGAAAAATTTCTAAATCAAGAAAAATTATTTACAAACAAGTTGACGAAACAAATCAGTGGTTAAAGTCATCATTTCGTTAGTTCTATGGTCGATACAATGACTTTGTCAGCAAATTGAAATAGTAAATAGTAAAAAAAATCTTGTTATATCTGTCTGAACAGATCACTACAGCTGTCGTACTCTGTTCCTATTTTGTATTGCTTTATAAACTTTTGATCTTGAATAATGTTCTTCATTAGTCTCTGGTATATCACTTGAAAAATTAGTGAACCTAAAGCATACGATGAAAAAATATTAAATCCTTGTGGTCAGACTGGTCAGGCTTTTAAATATTCTTACCTGATGAAAGTCAGGCTTCACACGAATATGAGAGAAAAACCCTATTTTCCACAATAAAGTACAAAATATCCCCGAGTCTCGAAAAGTGCATAACTCCTTGATCAACTGGTTTCTGTAATCAACAGCATTTAAACTGGATGGAAAAAAAAACAGGTCAGTATTTTGGGGTTTTATTTATTCATTTTCTTGATGCAACAAAATAAACTGAATTATCATTTTCTGAAAGATGTAGCCTTTTGGCGGCAAAGGTGTCTGCTAACAAATTTCCATGAATCGGCGTTATGAAAATTTGTTTGCCCATACTGAAGCAGTCTTTCGATCCGATAAATAGTTATGTGCGCCAAGTCGTGTCCTATATGAATTTGAACTATCACGAAAGGTATATGTGCACGTTTTACTGTGTAAACAACATTACTGCATAGGCAACTGTTCAAAGTGTTAACAAAATCTGAACATTTTTTCTCTTCGATATGGAGGAGAGACGTGGTAAAAATACACAAAATGATGAAAGAATCGTTTTTGATGGAATGACTCTGCCAGAATTTGTTCCGTTGAAGAAAGATGCTAAGAAAAGGTTTGAAGAGATCAAGAATTTAGAATGCAGAAAGGACGACGTGCTTTTGACAACATTCCCTAAATCAGGTGCTGCTTTTATATTCTTAACTGTCATTTAAATTCCAAACTCTTAAAAACATTTTTATGTATACCATATCAATAATCATGATAAGATGTGAGTCTTTACACTTTTCAACAAGGGCACCGCAAAGCGGAGCGTCCCCTCGAAAAGAGCAAATCTATAAATAAAAATAGCATTCAATATCTATCTCGATGCAAATTACTTCGCTTCGATGCAAATTACTTCGCTTCCGTTTCGCACAAGGACAGACTAGCACACACACGCAAGCGCAATATTTACCCACCCCTCCCCCAACTAGCTCCGTTGCGAGGGAAATTTGATTGACGTAAGTGTCCGCATGAAATCAATAGAGGTCAATTCTCTCTCTCTTTCTAAAATCTTGATCCCCATAAACATACATTGTGTAGAAGTTATAGCAACACGCATCGTGAAGACTATATTTGAGATTTTTTATTGAACTAAACAGGAACAAATTGGCTCTGGGAAATCATCTGCATGTTGCTCAAGGGCAAAGCTGAATACATGAAAGAAGCAAAAACATCTGTATTCCTTGAAGCTATCCCAGATATAAATGATATCAATGACCTACCTTCTCCTAGAATATTGAATACACATGTTCCATATCGATGGCTTCCAAAGCAACAGGTAGAAAATGGTGGGAAAATTGTACATGTCATCCGAAATCCAAAAGACGTTGCTGTCTCGTTGTACCACTTCACTAAATCATCAGGCAGCATACCAGAAGATTATCATTTTGAAACTTATCTGGAAGAAATATTCCTCGGTCCAGGTAAACCTTACTACCAGGAAAGATGTTCATTAGATGATCTGCACTTCGTTTAATAGATCTAGGATAAGTTTTCCTAATAATATGATTATGCAAGATGTTAAATTTTCATGTCAAAGGATTCACTTGCAGATGCAAATTCTAAGATTTCTTTAAAATGAATATTCTGAGTTTTAGTCCATCCATTTGTAGTCAGTCGGTCGAGAGAAGACAAGCATTTTTTAAAAAAAGAAATGGCCTGTATAGCCCCCTTTATTAATCGTTTGTTGTTCTTTTTCTAGCATGTCCGATGGGATCTTGGTTTGAATTTGAGAAAGAATTTGAACAAGCAAAGATGACTGATAAATGTGATTCAATTTTTGTAGTGCAGTATGAGAGTATGAAAAAGGTACGACAGAAATGCATATATAATTAAAAATCTCTACTGGGGATTTTGTGTATCCTGCAATAATAAGGATCAATTTGCCTGATGATTCCTGGCTGTTGGTGGAAAAACATTATCCACAAACAGAGATCAGAGAAATGACAAATAAAATAAGCTCATAGCCCTCCTCCCACATCACATAGATCATAGATTACAGTATATCATAAAAGTTTAGCATTGGAATATATATGATAATCTGCTGTTATAACAGGGCTTTCTTGAATAAGGTGAACGTTGTTGTTAATGAAAACTTGTTTCTTTTTATGTTGATGACAGAATCCAGTCGAGGAGACTACGAGACTGGGGAAATTTTTGAATGTCGATCTAAGTGAACAACAAATTGTAGACATCGTGGATAAATGTAGTTTCCAAAACTTAAAACATGCTGCTGAAAATTTTAAAGATCGCTCTCAGAGAATGAAAATAATGGTTATTGGAGAAGGTGCCTTCAAACAACCACCCAACATATATCGCAAAGGTAGGTCGACATCTGTCATCTTCCGGTGATATGTCTTATAAATTTGCACCTTATTACAAGGTGCTAAGACCATGAATTTGATATTCTTGGGCAATAATTTAATTTCAATTAAAATAAAATAACGTTCATAAAATCTTGAAATTGATCATATTGATCATGTGTTTTAATACCGTATTAGTACTTTGATTATAAATATTTTTCAGGAGAAATCGGAGATTGGAAAAATCATTTTACAGTTTCCATGAATGAACATTTTGATGAACTATTCCAGGAGAAAATGAAAGACTCTAATATTAAATTACAGTTTGAATAAAAACGCCTTACAATATATTTGAGTTATAGATATCTTAATATGCTTAAGTAGATTATGCAGAGTTTGTGATTTATGCATTCATAAGGGGTTGTCTAATTGCATTATTTTTTTTCTCCGTATGTTCATAGCAGTGTGTTGAAGAAAAACATTGAAATGAATAATTGGTAGTGATTTACAACTACATTTTTCATTTATTGTATTGTAGCATTCATCAAATCAAGAAGTAGGATTTTAAGGATTAAAATTAAAAAATTCTAAAAGTTCCTTCTAATTTTATATTCATATGGCTAGTTATAGTTCCTACATGTATAAACTCTTGGTTTTAAATATACCTCAGATGAATAAAATGTTTATAATGTAACTAATTTTACTGACATATAAGCTTGTACACTTTTAATGTTTATATATACTGTATAAGAATTTCAAATTTTAAACATTGTCTCGAATGAGAGATTGCACCCCACAAGTGCACGAAATAAATTAGTATGAAGCAGAATTAACAAGGGAAATTTGATGATTTTTATTGTTAAACGTCCCTCTCGAGAATTTTCGCTTATATAGAAACGCCACAACTTGCTGGTTGAAAATTCTGTCCTATACTCGGCACTTACTGCCATTGAGCAGCTAGGAGTTTTTACTGCGACACGGTACCTCGGCTTATACGGTCTCATCCTAAGACCGGTCTCCAGTCCCACAATGGGATTCGAACTCGCGACGTAAGGATCACTCCTTACTTTGCGACTCTATAGCAGATGGTGTTTGTTTTCGCCTTCAACTTGACATTCAGGTATATCAATTGACTAGTAATTTTTCCATTGACATGTTGACTGGATACACCCTAGCTATAGTGAACTCGTACGATATACGAAAACAGGAAAAACACCACAGAGTCTATCTTTTCCAAATTTTTTGGAGGATTTCCTTGTTCAATCTCTCTACGTCATTATGCAAAATCATTTACTTTTCGGTAAAAGGGTTTAAGTTGAATAAACAAAAGAAATTTGTCTAAATCGCTTTACTTAGAACCTTAAACTATATATCATGTTTAAATATACAACGTATTAAGGGAATTATCATTACTTATTATACTGGCTTTTTTTAAAACAGATTTTACAAAAATTAACCAGAAAAAAGTATACATGTACAAGAAAGTGTATGAATTTCATTAAAATGGCTTTAGCTTTAATTAATATTATGTAAAAAGAATTTGAAATTGCAATCACCATGTTGACGTTATAGGAACGTGCTAGACACAACATGAACAAGTTTCTACTAATTACTGGGAATTAAGAATAAAACTGACTATACAAAATGCATGTATCTCCGTCTATGTAAGTTGAAGGAATAAAGACATTTTAATTCAAAAATAATGAAACAGTTTATTTTTTTTTTTTTTTTTTTTTTTTTTTACAATTTTGCAATTTTGGAGTATTGTTTATTAGCTATGTTCAAGGGAAAACGAAGGAAAAGTAAGAAGGATTGATAATTGATTATTTCATCTCTTTAATTGTTTGAATGTTTAACTCCAAGAATTCATTCTGTTCTTTGATGATTTGATTCAAGGGGGGTATCGATTAATACATTTTATAACGAGCATTATTGAAATATGTTTGTACATACCGTTATATATAGTCTTTCAGAGCAAAATAGGGGGACCTTTAGAGAAGTGTAAAATGTCGTGTCCTATTTTTTTTTTTTTGGTGCACTATCACGAAAGGTACATTTTTATGCATGAGCTTGATAACCTGTTTAAATAAAATTAGTGCAAGGGCAACTTCAGTGTAAAAACGCAAAGCGTCATTTAAAATCGAGACATATGTCCCTTGGAAATGGAGGAAGAAGGTGATAGAAGTACACATAGTAATGAAAGAATTGTTTGTGATGGGATGACTGTTCCACAATTTATTCCGTTGAAGAAAGATGCCAAGAAAAGATTTGAAGAGATCAGGAATTTGGAATGCAGAAACGACGATGTACTTTTAGCTGCATTCCCTAAATCAGGTGCTGCATTTTTTTAAAAATCTTTTTATGTCAAATGAATTACAAACTCTTATAAAAGTTTTCATATATACCCCTAATTATCATGAAAAGAAAAATCTATAAATCTTGCACTTTTTTTTTTTTTTTTTTTTTTTTTTTTTCATTTTTTAGAAAGACATTGATATACATGTAATTAGTGGGAACTTTCCAGGCATTTTAAGATGATAACACCTGAAATTAAATTTTTATCAAGGTTTATGCATTTAAGAAAAGATAAAGGTCATTGAATTAAGCTCTCTCTCTCTCTCTCTCTCTCTCTCTCTCTCTCTCTCTCTCTCTCTCTCTCTCTCTCTCCAAAAAATTGTACCCCTTTAAATTTTGAAATTTTCTTTGAAAACGTCCCATCCCATTATGAAGTGAAATTATCAGTAGATTTGGCTAACATTATTTCCAAAAATTGATAATTTGACAATTGCACAAAATTATTTTTTTCAACAGGAACACATTGGCTTTGGGAAATTATCTGCATGTTGCTTAAAGGCAAAGCTGAATACGTGACAGAAGCGAAAACAACCGTATTCCTTGAAGCTATCCCAGATATAAGGGATATCAATGACCTACCCTCTCCAAGAACACTGAATACACATGTTCCATATCGATGGCTTCCAAAGCAACATGTAGAAAATGGTGGGAAAATTGTACATGTCATCCGAAATCCAAAAGACGTTGCCGTCTCTTTGTATTACCAATTTAAAACATCAGGCAGAATACCCGAGGATTGTCCCTTTCAAACTTTTCTGGAGCAAATATTTCTCGGTCCAGGTAAGCTTTACTAGTAGAAAAGTTCCATATTCATTAGATGATTTCTAATGCAAGTTTACTTCAAAAAGTATAAATGTTTCCTACTTTACGATTATAATATACGTCTATCTTTCAAGCCAAATGGTTTATTTTTTGCAAATTGGTCTTCGAAATTAAATGCGTATTTAAGGAATTTAAGTTGAATGATTCAAATGGCCATTATGATTAACGAAAACAAGTGTTAAAAATAGATGAAATAGTTCCCTTTTTATCTACTTTTTTTTTTTCTAGCATGCCCGATGGGTTCTTGGTTTGAATATGTGAAAGAATTTGAACAAGCAAAGATGACCGACAAATGTGATTCAATTTGTATAGTGCATTATGAGAGTATGAAAAAGGTACAAGTCAAACATAAATATTTTTTTTTCATTTTGTGTTGCATGCCAGGCATTCACGAAAAATATTGGAACTGTTTTTCATGACATCGTTGCGATTGCCTCTGCTAAATTCACAAAATAAAGAATTGATACAAATTTAACTGAAAAATGGGGATAAAAAGTTACCTGTCACTCAAATGAGACCGTATAAACCAAGATCCGTATTGCAGTAGATGTCATGAAGAGATATCAAAGCTCAATGACTTTAAGTATGTGCCAAGTATGGGTCTAAAATTGCAGCCTACCACGTGTAGCTGATGTCACTTCAGATCGAGTGAAAAAATTTTCAGAGAGGCGTAAATAACCAACAATAACAGCAATATACATCTTCATAACATATCAATAAAACACCCTCAAATAGTCTTTTTATTGGACAATTCCAATTCAAAATGTCATCATCCAAGAAGTATACAGCAATCATGACCCTCCTTAAACTGAACGAACATTCTAAGTACATTATATTAGAGTAAAATGCTCTAAAAAGGATTACATAATTACTTTTAAAAATATCTGAAAGAAAAAAAAGTTCATTTCTAGTTTTTTATACATGTGAACAAATTGTTAATGTGTTCCACCAAATTACTTTAAAAATAATATAAAAGCGTGAACAATCCCTGGTACCTCGTTTTGAAAAATGAACGATATATATGTGGAGGCTACTGACCGTCTAGCGTTTAAAGCGTCCAGGAAAAAAAAGTATAATTTTAATTTTTCATATTTAAAGTTTTAAAATGTATTGTTTCAATTGTGTTTTGGGAAAGCTAAAATATGTTTTTTCAAATTTAATCGCAAAGACCTTTTTATTTATATCATTTTAAATTTTCTACTTCTGTGAATATGGTCGCTCAGACGACGGAGTCCTCCAATCGTAGTCGTTTGACCGTAGGTTCCAACCTCAGCTGCAACTCACCTAAGTCAATAAGATAAAATTTTCGACTTCAGGGTTCAGATCTCGACACTTTGAATTGAAATATCTTTCTAACGAAACCAAACAATCGAGACTCTCTTTCATTACAGGCGTTGTTATGATGTTACCATGGCAGTAATTTACAATCAATGATATGCTAAAGTTAGCTTTTTCCGATCAAAATGCATCGTTGTTTATCGTCGTTGTTGTTGTCATTGTAAACTTTTAACATTTTTCCTTCTCCAAAATGACCGGAATAATCATGGCACAGGGTATCTATTGGTGCGTTCATGTTTGTTCAAATCATAAAGCAACAACACCCTCTTACGAGGGGATATACATAATAGAGTTACATTTTGATATAGTGAAAGCTTGCTTCACATTATTATTAATTATTGTCATTACATGTACCTAGGTAATAAACTTAAATTCAAGTTCCTTCAAATTACGACACTCGAGGGTAAGATGGAAATGTCTTGTGCAAATCATGACCATCATAGGTAAAGAATTTTAAGGGTGGGCAATAATGGCCGATGAAAGTTATAAAAATATAAATAATAACTCCTCATCTCAAGAACATCATAGTCATGATAGGTCATATTTTTATGTAAGAAACATTAGATACGTGTAGTTTAAATTCAAGTTTTAAATCATTGCCCCAAGAGAAAGGATAAACATACAATATTTGATCAAAGTTTTACATAGGAATATAATGGGAGAAAGCTGCTGCTGAAGAACAACAAAGCTCTGTTTACTCAGGTGACCGTTGTGGCTTATTGGACTTTTTTTTCTTTTTATTATGACAAAAGAATCCAATCGAGGAGACTTCCAGATTGGCAAAATTTTTGAATGTCAATCTAAGTGATCAACAAATAGCAGACATCGTGGATAAATGTAGTTTCCAGAAGTTAAAACATGCTACTGAAACCTTGAAAGATCTATCTCATGTTAAGAAAATACTCGTCATTGGAGAGGGTGCTTTCAAACAACCCCCAAACATTTATCGCAAAGGTTGGTCAATGTTTGATATGAAAAAACAGAAAGAAAAAAATGTTGATAAAATGCACAGAGCATAACTTTTAGGCAAGTACACTTG